AATGACAGGCAGTGCTGTTCATGATGTAAAAGCCCATTTTGCTCCAAACGTTTCCACCATTTGTTTCCCACAGGCTGTCAAGCAGCCAGCGAATAACTGAAAATGCACTTAGTTACTGCTGAGCTGGACTCTTCAGAAGACAAAAGGCTCCATAGGCTGCTGCCAACCCCAAGCCAGCCAAGACGACTGATAGCAAGAGCCAACACACATTCTTGCTGGGGAGCTTGAGCCACCTTCATGCTTCCTCCGAATGCTGGCAGGGAGAGTTACTGGATGTGATCAGAACAACCAACTCCCAGTTCTAAAAAGCTTAATAAAGATCAGATTCTTTCCTTTGCTCCTCCCCTATTTCTATCATTGTCTGGATAACCAGACTCCAAGTTCCCAAACACGTTCACAGGAGAACCCAAAGCAGGAACATATTCAAGCATTTATGTCTCAGGGTTCCCAGAGCAGATTTGCCAATGGGACATGAACATGTGGCAATAGCTGTTTGTTCCCTGAGTTTAAATCATGAACAATTCTGCAAGGGGAGGACAGACTATGAGCGTTTGGTTCCCAAAGTTTCCAGCCAGTGCTCTCAGACTTCCCAGGCCAGGCTCTAATCATGCTAAGCCAGCGCTGCTGGAAATCCTTGATATTTGACATCTTTCTTTTAAATGATTTTGGCCCAGGTGTGGTCTGGTGGCAGGTACTGACTTTGACAGTCCCTGTTTCTTGGTGCCCAGCCTTTTTCAGAGCTGCCAAGTGGCTGTAATTCCAAAGCCCTGGATGAAGCAACCAAGTCCATGGGCATCTCAAACTGGGTGCTGAGAAGTCACCTGCTTTTGGAGACTGGCACATACATGTTTTAATTTTTGGAGAAATAAAAACAGCCATTGGGTCCTATTATTTTCCCTTCCCCATTTGCTCCCGTAAAAGATTACTGTTAACTTCAGCACCAACATTGAGTCCAGGGTCCCTGCCTACTCACCAGAACACCCTCTGGGCAGAATTTTCAGGCACCAGCAGTTCAAAGTAGGGCAGGTTTTTGTACTTCTCAGCCCCCACAGCCACGTAGTAACCACCGTTCACCAGCTCCTCACCGCTGGACACTGCAACTCCATCCAGCCTGCAGAGCCTGCAGGGAGAAGGTGACAAGAAGATTAGGAAGAGCATCAGTGGGATAGGTGAGGGGTAAGTAGCAAAGGCATCAAGTGCTCCTGGGAGGGGGGGAAAAGGGAGCAAGGAAGCTGGAGGAAGAATGCAGAAAACGAGAGAGAATCCTCTCCGGACCTCAAGCAGTGCCCAGGTGGCTGGCAGCCCAGGCGGGGGTGGCGCAGGAGTGAGGGCTCTGGACAAAAAAAAAAGGATCAGTTCCCTCGGAGCTCAAGCACTGAGCCAGTTTGGGCAGTAGCAAGAGGCACGGTGTCCTCTGGGAGCGTGGGCTAAGTTTATCGCAGGCTCCAAGTTGGTGGGGTTATGACGCCAGGGATCAGCGTGGTATTTCAGAGTTGTCTCCAGGTGTCAGCAAACCTTTATCTTAATCTATCTACTCTCCAAACTCTTGTCCAACACAACCCGCCACCCCCAGCATGAATAAAGCATAGCAGAAAGGAAAAGGATTTGCTCCTCCTCGTTACCACGTGCTCACCACACACCCTAGCCCTCACACAGGCCCTTGGATGAGCTCCAGGGCCACGGGGCAGATCAGGAGCAGAAACAGGTGAGAGCCCAGCATTGCAACTCAGCCCCCTGCTACATCTCCTCACCTGGGCCAAATAGCCGCGCGGAAATTTGAGCCGACGGTGCCGTTTCTGAGGACTCACCTTCGGACAGCTCCACTGCGAAGGCTGGCTTTCTCCGTCAACAGCCCCAGGACGGCGTCCCACTCCAGCAGGGTGCTCTTGGAGAGGAGCAGGCGGAAAGGGGGGCTCAGCAAGTCGCCGTTCCGGAAGACGCTTCAAAAGATCCAGATGCGTTTGCATGAGCCTGTGCTCCTACTCGTGCTCGCAGCCCCGCGCGCACGGCGGTGACTCCTCTAGGGCCCCCAGCAGCTTAGTCTGCACGTCAGCAATGCCAACAAGCAGCCGACGCTCGGCTTGTGCACGCTGGCGCTGCAGGGCTGTCACCGCCTCCGGTGGCGGAGCTCCTCAGGCCGCAAAGCATCCCCCTCCTCCAAGCCCCCAGAGACTCTCTGCTCCCCAGGGCCCCTTGAGAGACACTCACTGGATCACACAGGGCAGATGGGTGGGCTTCTGCCATCGTGCCGACACGGTCAGCTTCTGGGGAGCGACAGGGCGGACCTGGAGGCCAAGTTCACCACACAAACATGTCACGCATGCCTTGCAGGTCTCTGCCCTCCACCCTCCCAGCAGGGCCCCAACCAGGTGGCACCTCCTAACTTGGCTCGTGGTCCCCGTGCTGCTAGGTGAGGCTTGTTGTCAAACAGCCAAGCCTGGGAGAGGCTCCATGCAGGTGTCAACACAATGGGTTGGCATGGCCGGGCGCATTGTGGCGTTGCCAGGGGCAAGGAGCTCTTGTGTACAGATCGGGCTCGCGGTGCTAACAAGGGAGAGGGACTGCACATGAAACAGCACCGTCGCACACGTGACATCCCATCGACTACCGTCCTGCTGGGGCGCACGGCTGCCTTCAACCTGAGCATTTCTGTCCACTGCCACCCCCCTCCCCTGCTCCTGAATGACTCAGGCTTGCTGTCCTCCCCCAGCTTGGGTTAGGGCGGGCTGCTCAGTGCCATTACTGCTTAAAGAGCGGGGAGCAAAGGGGAAAACAGACCATCGAGGCCGTGTCTAACCACAGCCTGCTCCTCGTTCTGACAAACTGTCCTCACAGGCTGCAAACACTTGGGAGAGATCAGCAGGAGAGCTCCTCTCCCCTCCCAGCGCTAGCTCCTGGGTGTGTAGACTGTCACCTCCACAGGCAGACCTCTCAGAGAATCACAGAAAATCAGAGAAAATGAGGGTTGGAAAGGACCTCAGGAGGTCACCTAGTCCAACCCCTGCTCCAAGCAGGGCCAGCCTCAATAGATCATCCCAGCCAAGGCTTTGTCTACCCGGGTCTTCAAAACCTCCAAGGATGGAGCATCCACCACCTATCTGGGTAACCTGTTCCAGACCTTTTTAGTGAGAAAGTTTTTCCTGATGTCCAACTTCAACTCCCTTGCTGCAACTTGAGCCCATTGCTCCTTGTCCTGTCATCTGCCACCGCTGAGAACAGCCCAGCTCCATCCTCTTTGGATCTGCCCTTCAGACAGTCGAAGGCTGCTCTTACCAGCACCCAGCTCTGCAGTCAGCCTTGTACAAAAACCAGCCCCCAGAAAATGTCGCCCCATTGTCGGCTAAGCAGCAAGCATCCTAACCCCAGACCTCGCCTTCTGCTGGGGGAACAGGCTCACGGTGATGAGGCCTAGCTGCAGCAGCTATTTCAAGACAATTGCACACATGCACACCCCACCCTAAAACGGACTCACCTGCATGCCATTTTTCTTCCTAGCCCCACTCAGCTGCTTCAATCCCCGATTTAAATAGCTGTAAAAATGGAGAAAAGATAATTAACACACTCCCAGGCCGCGTTCCCTGGGGCACCGTGGCATGGTGGGAAGGCCGTGACCCTGAGAGCTAGCACAACTGGAGTTTTAGCCCCTGGTTGGGTCTCTCAAGGTGAACAGGCCAAAGATAGGGGCCAAGCAAAAGTCAGGCAACTGGTCCCCTGGATTGGGGGCTCGGCAGCGGGCCAAACTACCCCTGTAAAAGAGAAAAGGACAGACCTTAAGCAATGTCCTATTCTTGCCCCAAACATTTGATCACCCAGGAAGGATCTGGATTCACACACAGGCACAGCCACACCGTCCCATGTCCTCTGAGCAGCCAACGTCTGGCAGGAAAGCTTCCTTTATACAGAATAAGCTTTAAATCCCCTCACTCTGAGCGGTCTCAACAGTATGGATCAAACTGAAATTTGGACGGCTGGAGCTCCGGGCCACACTGCAGCTCCTGACTTGTTGAAAGCGGTCGCAAGAGACCCTGTACGCGGAGGGTTCACTACTTCAGTACTCAGTAGCACCAAGGACAGGAACGCTGTTAACCAGTCTCATCACCCCTGCGAACATACCTGAGCCAATTCACTTGGAAGGCAACAGCAGCCTAGCTTTGCTTGCACTCGGGCCCTTTAGGTGCCACGTGTTGTTGTGGGCTTCCCACGTGCCTATCAGAAGTGTATTTTAGCTCCTTTTCACCTTTCTACCTCATCCGTTCTCCAGGACATCAGCTGGGATAAGAACCATTACGCTTAAAATTCCCGACCAACAGAGAGTTCCCGGTTCCCCGGCAGAAGGCATTTGTGCCACGTCACATCCCCCTCACCAACTCCACGTTTTAGCCTTTGAGCCCAAGGCTCCAAGCATTTCGATTAATAATGCTCAAGTTTCCTCAGCAGAACTCAACGTGGGCTTATTGGGCCAAATTCATCCCTGAAGAAATGCCACGGATGAGTTACGACACGAAGGACCCTGGCCCAGCATGGTTTTAGTTCCTGTTTGAACATCTCGGGGCCATATGAAATTTAAGGGACCCAGCAGAATGGGGACAACTCATCAGAGAGGGGCACAGGTAGGGGAAGTGGTGCTGGAAATTGGTAGCACAAAGCCCCGACTGTCCCTGAGCGCTGCACAACAGAGATGCTTCGCGGATCACTACAACCTGGCGAAGAACGTGTTTTTTCAGTTGATTATTTTCAGCTCATTCTTACGAGCATATCGGCTGAAAAAAAGAGAAATTCCCCTTACCAAATGAAAAACCACTCCCATGTACGTGTCAACCCTCAGCTAGCGCATCTGCAAATATTTACAACAGAGCCCAATAAGCCAAGGCATGGCAAACAGCCAGACCTTGCCTTTCCCAGCTGCAGGGCTCCATTGACAGGCTTTTTAAAACCCAGAGTATTAAAAACATGACTGCCAGCTCCCCCGTGCGATTTAGAACAGGTGGCCTGAAACGAGCAGGTAGAGCAGAAAGCGGACGTGCAAGCTATCGGCACAGAAAGCAAGCAGCATTAGGAAATTTCAACATATTCGTGGCTGCAGCTAAATGCCCTTTGATAGAGGACAGGGAATGAAACGGGCACACGGGGGTTTTGCGGGTGTCAGCAGGACCCTGGGAACCTGGCTGTGCATTCACACAGACCTAGAATAGTTGTGTTCCTTGGCCAGCAGCCCTGTCAAGTAAACCCAAGTTTGTGCCCCTCAGTTCACCACCACCAGACGTCTGGCTGGCCCAGCACCACGCCACCTTTCAAAGCGTTGCCTGCTTACAGGTGCACAGTGACCCCCTTCCTTCTTGCCCCCTCCCTTATTCCACCTGGAGACCAAAGCGACTCACTCAAGCCTCTTGAACCTCTCGAAGCCGGCTGCCACGTACTGGCACCCGTTCTGCAGCTCCCCCAGATCCGTGACCCGGTGGCCCTGCCTGGGGGTGTAGATATTCCTCACTGCCACGGGTGCATGGATGGTGCTGGTGACCTCGTTCAGAAACGCTTCGAAGGTGAGGAACTGGCGCTGGTTGACCACAAACTTCCTGCCCTGGAAGAAGGGGTCCCCATTGCGATACACCACCACGTTCTTGGCAGGAGGCGCCAGGGCTAATCCGGTGGAGCTCATTCCCCGTGGACCACCCACAATCCACGGATAATAAAGCAGCAGGGTGACCTGCACTGGGCAAAGCGCAGAGGAGGAAAACCCCTGGAGTCCTGTGCAAAACACAAGCACTTGCTGCCTGGCTGCCTTTGTGCTCCCGTCCCTTCTCGGAGCTGCTTTCTGAAAGTGTCTCTGGCTGTTTCCATGGCTGCAGGCCCAGCCAGAGCAGAGTGCTTTGTGGGCTGGCCTGGCCGTGTCACTCAAACTGGGAACAGGAACCGCACAAATACCCCTCTCTTGACTATGCGCGACCAGAGCAGAAAGCTCCTTCGCAGCCTGACAGCCTCCAAACTGCAGGGAACCGGCTTGCCCAGGAGAGCGGTTACAGCCATCCACCTCTCAAGCAGGAATTTCAATCCCATCCACAGTGGGAGTGTATGAAAAACTCACTGCCCATTTCTGATCACTCCGTGGTCTGTGTGACAGAGGTGGCAGGTCTCAATCCACTGCCCCATTGGCAAGTGTCTCACCAGCCACATTGCATTACCTGGGCTCAAAACCGGGCCCCAGGAAGGACAGGCCAGTGGTTATGCCACTGTAGCCTTTGCTACAGAGCACCCAGGCTCAGTTCCACTTGCCACAGACTTCCTAGGTGGCCTCAGGCAAGTCACTTGGGTTTCCTGCATCTCCTTTTCCCATATTTAAAGGGGAATAAGGCTTCCCTGCTTCCTGGGGGCATTGCGAGAAGCGCACTAAAAACACGGCAAGGGGACTAGGTATATGATGCTAACAGAGGTCCGAGCAGTGCCGCCGAGAGGAGAAGCCCAGGAGTCTGCACTGTCCTTGCACTAGTTCAGGGGATTAGACAGAGGAGCTCGAGCTCATGTCTTTCAGCAGCACAACGCTCCAAAGAATGCAGAAAGAAACAAAAGCTTTACTTGCATCCCTGGCTGAAGATGGCTGCATCCCACACCTCGGAGCAGGGACTCAGGCTGCCAGCCTGTTTCCAGACATCCCTGAAACAACCCTGTTCCCCTCCCTGTTACTCTTCCCCCTACAAATAGAGCAAAGTAGCGACAATTTCCACCAGTGGCATCAGGGCATTTAAGCTCTCTCCCTCTGCTCTGAGTGCCAAATCCTGACCCTGCTGAAGTCAAAGTCCCATAGACCTCAGCAGGTCAGAATCAGGCCCAGAGATGTTCAGATTCAGGTGGGGCCAGGTGATGCAATGCTGAAATGGGTCTGTATTGACATAGGACAGCCTGTACTGAACAGATTTGCTTCTAATAAAGAGGCTGGAGTGCGTGTGCTGCTGAAAGAAAGGAGCGTGAGACCGCGGTGTGGTGCCCAAGCTCCAGCTTGGTTCCATGGCAGCCTGTCAGCCCAAGAAAGGGTGATCAGGAGGACACATTCAGGGCAGCACCCAAAAGGTTTATCTATTCACTTTGCAGATTGCTTAGAGCCTGCAGAGATTTCCTGCAATACATCCATTGCCACCCGCCCACTGCCAGCGTGATGGGCTACAACCTTGGTCAGGCTCCATGTGGAAGGTCGGTGTGAGGAGCCAGGCTACCATCAATCAGAGGCAGATGTGGAGACAAGACACTGGAAAAAACATTTTATTCAGGAACAGACTTGGGAAATAAGTGAACATGTTCAGGGACTGGCAGAGGATGAGATCATACGTGAAACATGCATCTGGTTGCACGACTGCACACGGAAGGAAGATGCAGCGAACCAAGTGCTAAGGGCCTGTGGTATGAAGTGGAGCAGCACAGAGAAAATTCCCCTTTCTGCCATACATGAGGGATCCGGTGGACCATAGCAGAGGCAGCCAAGCCTACCGGGGAAAGCATCCACACAGACAGTATGGTCTGTACACACAGTGCCAACCCCCCAGGCCTTGCTCAGCTGCTCAACCAGTGGAAGTTCAGTCTGAGGGACAGCTGCTGAGTTTAGCCACGGAGACCACCACAAAACTCTGGGGTCTTCAAATCTTGGGAACAGAGCCCTGGTCAATGGGAGGCTGAACCTTCCCAAAGTGTGCAGCTCAGCCAGCTAACACAACAGGGGCTTAGAGTCAAAGTACCCCACTGCCTCTCTGCAGCTCAGTGCGACCTCAAACCAGTGGCCAGGCATTTAGAGAGCGGGACCTTTAAAACCCCGCCACAGCATCCCTGCCTTGGATTCACCCTAGAGGCTCAGGTCGAGCCAGCAGAAGCAGGCTTCCTCCAGGCTGAGCACTAGCTCCTGCAGAGTTCAGCTCTCACAGCAAAGGCACAGGTTTAAAAGAAGAGTCTTCATTGTCACGTTCCTCATAACCAAAGCCAATCCCAAGATCACCGTGCCAGGCAGCCCCATTGCACTGGAGCGAGTGCTCTCCCGGGTGGTCGGACTTCCTGCAGATCAGCCAACAGTTACCCTGCTCCCGCAGACAGGACACAGTCCAGCTGGCCCCAGAGAACATCCTTCCCCCAACGGGACACAACCATGGTGTGCAGCCCACTGGGATGGCCACTTATCTCTCGGGAGCCCCCAGCCTTTGTTTCAGGATCAAGTACTACAAGACAAAAAAGTAAGGGGGGAAGAAAAAAAAAAATCACCTGCTATTGTTTTGGGGCTGGCAGCATTTGAACAAGGAGAGCGTTTGTCTCTGCAGACTCCTCAGAGCCCTGTGGAGCTGTCACATGTGATGGGAAACGCTGTTTTTAGAAGGATACAACCGAGGCTTCAACAGCTAGATCTGGGTACCTCCCTCCCTCTAACTGGCTCCCAGAAACAGCCTGGACAGTTCAGATTCCTGCATCCAACCCACTGCTCTGCTACTGCCCTGACCACGTGACCATGGCATGTCGCTGTACCTTAACACTCAATCCAATTTGTAAGGCCCTTTAAAGACAGGGGATAGAAGGCACAATGTGCGCATTATTTAATCATCATGCCTTTAATCACCTGATTACTGCTCATTCATATGCATACTCGGAGGCACAATGCAGTGTAGCATGTTTTTCGCAAGCCTTCTGTGACAAAAGGTATCCAGAGAAATTATGCGAACAGGCTGTGCAATGAGTACTGCATCAAAACAACAGTGACGTCTTTTGAACAGCCCTACAGCTCACCACAGCCAGCTCTCCATTTAATTAGCTGAGGCTCAGAAATGGAAAGCAATTAGGCATGTACAAAGCATCATCACCTCCCGGAGAGCAGAGCAAATGTGCCATCATCATCTGACCCAACTCTTAGGGGGGTACACTTTCAGTGTTCAAATCTAAACTCCACAGGAGCAATTAACTCCGCATTACAGCTCCAGACACCAGGCAGCTCCATCCAGCATTCTGAGTGTGCACACATGTGCACACCCACCCACACAATCAGAAGGAAGATGAGGCTCTTACATTCTTACGGCTTGCAATAGCTTGCTGCAGCCACAGCATCTCCATGGCCAAATGCTTTCGGTAGCGCTGGAGCTCAGTTAGCGTCTCAGGCAGCTCTTTCTCCATGCTTCCGAATGAAAGCTCTGCACAGAAACGGAAGCAGGAGCGATTATAGCCACCAACAGCACCTTCCGTGTTCCCATCACACCTTGGCCCATCCTTGGAGCCAGATTTGGGTGCAAGAGCCTCTCCCCAGATCCCACCCCCAATCCCAGGGGAGCTGACTGTTTTGCTACAGCACACAGTAACCTGGCCAGCCACAGTGGTGACCTTCTCACTGCTGTTCATGGCTAAGTCAACACCTTCTTGCAGCGAGAAGAGTCTGATCACATCTCCAACTTATCCTGCCCACCTCCTTCCCCAACCTCCACTTCTAGGCAGCTCTGTACCAAGCCCACTTGAACCCATCGCTTCTACCGAACGACGGTTCTGGTCTGTGCTAGTTTAGATTCTCATCCTGTCCTTCTCACTTCATCAAAGAAAACCTGCCATTAACCAAAGCAGATGTGCACAAATCTAGTGCAAACCAATTAGGAACGTTAAATTCTTGTGCAGCTCTCAAAGGATGCAATATGCAATCACTGTCCTTAAACTGCAGTAAAACCAAAGAGAAGTTAGTCAACTCCCCTGCATGGCTTCTGCTGGCAAAACGGGACAGATGCATCTGTTTCCTTAACCTTCTGGCAATGTGAGAAGCTGTTCGCTTTCTAGCCTCTCACAGAGGAAAACGGAGCAACTACTTTCTTTAACAACATACATTACAACTCCAAAGACTTGCACAGTTCTTGTTCTTGACTTTGCTCTCCCCCAAAACAGAGACAGTGAATTTGAAAGATAGGTACCTGTCTAGAATAGATTTTCTAGTTTGTTTGTGCTCAAAGACCTTGCAAAAAAATCCTCTATCATGATCTTGACTTTCAGCTTCTGAAAACAGTGGAACCCCCACCCAACCACCACCGCTGTCCCAATGGAACAGATGGCAGGAAATTTATACAGACAAAGGTTCAGCTATTAGAGCACTTTTTCCCTTGCAAAAGAGACGCACTGGAGGCCAGAACCTGTGTGTCAGAGAGAGGTGGGTTGGGGTTCTGGGAGACACGTGGAGCCACGTGATCCATGCAGAGGCTCTGGGCAGGGGTCTGGAGATGCAGTGCGCTTTGCTCTTATCCACACACACAGTTAAATCACTCAGAGCAGCACCCACTGCTGCTAGCAGCCATCAGCAATGGGTAACTTCCTACCATAGACAAGGTCATGGGGAAAACAGACATCATTTCTGCTAAAGACCCAAGGAAGAGACTCCAAATGGAGTCTGCTGTACCCAATTCTAGACTCAAGTGTTTTTCTGAGGCCTTTTGTCTCCTCAGGAACCTGCTTCAGAAGTACAAGTGTTCTGCTGGTCTACTCAGATAGGCTGGACAGATACGGAGCGCCTGGCTATGCACTTTGCACATTGATTCTGGTTTCTTACCCTGGCTGGCTCCGGCAGACCCGGTCTCCAGAATGGTGCTGCTCCATACAGAAGACACGTTGCTACAGTTCTTCCATTCGCTGCTCTCCCCTGGCAGGCTGCAGTCCAGCCTGGTGGGTGTCTCTGCCTCAGGCTCTGGATTCAGCCTCACTCCATCAGCACCGCTCCCCGAGGGCACCTCCTCACCTTGCAGCTGGCCTGCGGGGTTTGTGATGACCCGAGAGTCACAGTCCTTCTCTGGTTCCGAAGTCTCCAAAGGATAAAGCTTCTGCTGCTCTTCATCAGTGGCACTCTGGTCTTTGGATACAGCCTCTTGGCCAATCGATCGCTTTGCTTTCACCTGTTTCTGGAGAAACAGGTTCGAGAAGTGAAACAGTCGTAGAGGGAAGCAACTAGCGGAAATGCCCAGCAAGATCAGGCTCTTCCCGGCACACTGCTTCTTGCAGCCGGGGATCTCCACCAACATGGTCAGCGGACAGAGGCAGCTAGGTCAGGCAGAAGCTACAGTTGCACCTAAGCTTTCATGAGCAATAGCTGACTTTGTCTAGTAACTGCAGAACCCGACTGTGTCCATACCAGGATTGTAAATGGCTGTGGTTTGGGGAATAGTTAATTGTCTGCGTTTAAGCTATACTTTGGGTTTTTTTGTCTTTTATAGAGTGTGATAAAAAGCCACCACGCACGTGTACTACAAGCCAACGAGCCTCCAAAAGCCCTTCTTGGCACAGCAGGGATTTCCTGCCCAGAGGGAAGAGCTGCGGGTCCCTGACACCCTCTATACTCAAACCTGTGGTTAGCCCACGGTCAGACGCCACATACAATAGGTGTTCACCTCGCGCTCAGCAGCCCCTACCTCCTGAAGAAACACGGGCCTGGGTAGGAGGCCGCCTTTCCACTGCAACCGATCCAAACCCCCTTCGATCTCCATGACAGCGCGCTCATATTCCTCCCGCAAGCGTCGAAACCTCTTCCTCACCAGGTAACCTCGGATGTGAGCCTAGAGAAGAGAGACAGAGCTCCCCAAGTTCCCACCGCGCTACAGGCAGAGGCAGAGCCCAGCCTCCCCGTCCGACGGCCTCCGAATAAAAATCCCGTTACGCAGAAGGGAACTAAGTTCCCTTCTCTCTCCCCCC